GGGCGCGGTTGCCTTCACGAACATGATGCGCTCGGCCTTCCTGACGGTGATGCACACTGCGAGCTTTGTGCTCCTTGCGACGCTGTGCCTTGTCAGCACGGCCAACCACCTTGCGTCGAGCGACGGCGGAGCGAGGGCGTACGCGGTTATCGTGCTGCTGCTGACCACTGTGCTGCTTGCGGCCACTGTGTACGGCGTCGTTGTGTGGTACGCGGAGGACCGCCACTGGCAGGAGCTGCGCGAGCCGCGGCGTGGAGGGCTGGAGGCGCTGCTGCGCGATGACGAGGAGAGCGACGAAGGGACGCAGAAGCCCCACAACGTGACGTCATCGTCGTATGCCCCAGGCACCACCGCTGCGTCGTCGTACCGACCACCCGCACCGCCGTAGCAGCCTATGGCTGGTGACACCCGCTCGGACGCGCTGAGCCCTCTGGACCGTGCATCCAGTGCGAGCCGTATTGATTGATTACGCTGCCATGTGACGTGTAACACGCGGAATTAGTAAGTATGCGATGGTTGAGAGGCCACGGCTGTGCTGCGCCCCACAGCCAGCCATCGTTAACAGCACCGATAGTGTTGTTGATTGTTGTTTCTATCGATTTGTTTCTTTTTTGAGCGGGTGCTTCCAGGATTTTTTCCCGTTCCACGCTGACTGTGTGGGAGGGGATTGAGTTGTCGCTCTCGTTGCTCCTGATGCCATGTTGTACCGGACTGTAATTTCATGGAGTTGTGTGCGAGGAACTCGGCGCCCATTTCGTGCAATGAAGGAAGGATCCAGCGAACCGCCTAGCGGAATTAATGAATTGCGGCTCTGCCTTATCGTGGGTTTACATGCAGGGGGCATTAATTTTTGCAGGAGCAAAGCGGCGGCAGAGTAGTAGCAGGGCTCCAGGCCTCCAGTAACGTCTTCGAGCGGGATTATGTATTGAGGCACGACGCATTGTCGTAATTCCGGCCTGCCATGGTGTGGCGAGTGCACAGGGTGATTGTTGTCTCTTTAGCGGTGGAAGTGACGGACCAAGCCATCCCAGTCACGTTCCAGACTTGCCCTCGAGCGCACCGCATTCCACCGGCAAGGGATATCGTCGCGGATTGGCCACGCTGGTACGGGGATGCCCACACGAGGAATTCCTTCTTTTCCCAATTCCCCTCCGGCCGTGCGAAATTCATGCACCACAGCAGATACGGAGGGATGTGGCGTTAGAATGGAGAGTACGATATTCACCGGGACTTTTTCCACGGCAGCGTGCGTCTATGCGCCTTCTCGTGGAACCGTGGGAGCACGCGAGCACCCGTCGACGGTTCTGGTTCACCTGGTGACTCACATTGTGGACGTACCCTTTTTTCTTGCCAGCAGCGCCGAGGAGCGTGCACACGGATGCAGCTTGTCCTTGGCCACTGCGAGGTGTCCGAGAACGAAGCTTGTGATGCATAAGCCAAGAAGGTGTCCGACCTCGCACAGCTCATTGACAAATGGATCACCGGCATCGTCGCATTGGTCGAACGTATTATTCGTGCCCGACGGCTCAAGCCAGAAGCCTACCGCTCCACTGTATCAGGCGACTGGGAACCCACTTGCACGGACGCCACTCTCACTCGTGTGGAAGAGGCTGCACTGGACCGCCTCCGTAGCGGATTTTCGCACAAATACGGATGGCTGCCACGGCCACTGCAACCCGCCATCCCACTCACATGCCGTTGGTGCGGCCCGGATGCCTCACAACAGGCACGCAAAGAACTTCGCACGGAAACGCCTCCTCCTCCCGCTGGACCACACACCGCCACGACCCGATGCCCGACAGACTGTCCGGTGTGCGGCAAACACTGCAGCTGCTACAATAGTGTCGTGACGCACATGGTTAACGCCCAGGGCATTACGCGCTCTCCCAGGCGCTGCGGGAGTTCAGCTTTCCCGGTGAGCCGGAGCCGCCAGAAATCCCACCGGAACCCCCGCCCAGCGCTTGGGCGAGGACGAGAGCGAGAGACGGCACACCGACCGCACCTCCGCCGCAGAGTGCACGGCCCAGGCCGAAGCCACTCCCATGCAGTTTCCGCACGGTGTCGTACGAAAAGCAAGCCGGAACCGTATTTTATCTTTGGCACTTCCACAAGCAAGAGTCCCCCCGACAAATAGGAGGCGTTGCCAGGAATATGGCGGTCTGACGGCATGCACCGCGCTCGAATGCACGTACTTTGAATTGAGGGTTCAAGCGAAAGCAGGACCAATATTCTGCATAAGAGCACGCGAACGCTCCAGAACAGAGCCACGGTCGGCACCGAAGAAAGAAGCACTTCATAAGTGCCCTTGATGCGACCGGCAGGCGGGTAATGCCGGGGGATTGACCACCCACACACGGCACAAACACTTGACAGAAAGAAAGTCCGGATACTAAAAATGGAGATTAAATAGCCACGCGCTGCAAAACTTGAACCTTCGCATGAAGAACATCAAACCCACACAGAACCCCCGCCTCTGCACAGGAGGAGAATACCACCGAGAAACAGTGCACCGTGTGCCTAAAATGGCACGCACACACATGCGTTGATGAACGTCACGCTGTCGCCGATGTCACGACGGCAGAGGGGTCAGGCCGCCGAGAAGGCGCACGTTGCCCGGCGACGACAGCCCGATGGGATCACCACCGGCTGAGTTTCGCCGTCCAGCATGCGTGTTTCAGTGCCACAGCAATGCCTGACTGACCCGCCACCTCATGGCACGCCACGGGCATCGACCGGACATTGTGAACACCGGCCGACTTAAACTGTGCGAAGAGGCAATTCTGCATTTACTCCGCTGCGGCTCCCCCTTCGGGTGCCGGGCTCTCTTTTACATCTCCGATCGTTGGGCGGACGTGCTTTGCGATGGCGGCTGGCGTGTGGGCCTTCGTATTTGTTTGAGAAGGCACGGGGAATAGTAGCAATATATATCAACAGCACTGAATAGATATTAATACCGATATTTACATGCCCATCTATATACATATGCGGCCAATAAAGTAGCAATTCAATAAACCAAGAAACCAAGCAATCTGTCAATTTGGATGGGAGAGAAGGGACGCATCCATATAAACAAGAAGATAAGCATCGATCAATGTATGGCGATATCGGTGTGGGTATGAGTATCAAAAAGTTACTTTATTTTTATTGATGCTTATTTTCGTATTTATATCTCTCCATATAATTTTTTCTAGGAGCTTGTGAAGAGAATGATCGCGGGAGAGCTGGCCAACTTACTGTATGTATCCTTATAAAAAGAATACAATTTTTTTACGACACACTTTTTTATTACGAATTTTGGGAATGCCACGACTTTAAGGACATCAGGGAACCGATGGCGACTAGATAATTTTATTTTTATTTTGCCATTCCACCCACACCCCTTTGATTCCCACCACGCGGCGGGGGATTGTGGCTGGAGGACCAAAAAGACTGCCACTTCGTAAGCAATAGCATTCTAGATCCTAGCTGAGTACAAAAGGTCACTTTAGCGCTCAAAAGAATATATATATATATATATTTAATTAGAAGAAAACATTGAGGCAATTAAATGCCTCTGCATTAATCCCCTCTTTTTCCCCTATCTTGTTTGGTTTATATAGATAATTTTAGGATCCGGCCAGCGGCCCAGAAGATTATTCGGGCTTGTTATTTTACTGGTTATTGGCAAAAACGGATGATTGAGACACCGCGATTGACCGTGGAGGATGCGTAACAATTGTGTGTTTCACGCCCTCCACTGCAGCGCCCTCTCCTGGGGCCGGGACTCTTCTTCACATCCCTACTTATTGGGCGGATGTGCTCGACGATGGTGGCTGGCGTGCGGCCATGGGAGTTATTTGAGAGTAGTCAATGCAAAAGAAGAAACGGCCACTGCACGGCTTTGCGTTTTTTGTGTGGGTTGCGGCGCCTCCACGTCCTATTGAAATGATGGAGTACTTATTGTATTTTCATTTTGCTTGCGCTGCGCAGCTTCCCTTTCTTGGTCACGGTGGCTGCGTGCTCTTCGCACATGTCGCATCTCCCGCTGTTGCTCCCCCGTTGTGTCGGTGGGGGGAGGAGGCGAGCGACGGCGTTGGTGGAGTGGCGCCCCAGTTTGGGGAGGAAGACACCAACATCTGGTGAATGCGACAGTCTTTGCCGCAGGCAATCTGGAGGGATGGTGTCGTTGTTGCCACGGCCAACTGAGATGGACGAGGACCGCACTGCGTCTCTTTCCCCTTTCTACATCACTGCAGTCACACGACACACGCACCGCACGGCAGCGACGCGACCACTATCCAGACGGCTGCGAGTCAATCGGACTGTGCAATTGATTTGGGTTAGGGTTTCCCGTGACTGGGTGCCGCCGCCGTGCTCCTTCATCCCTTCCTTCTGTGTGTAATGCCGTCTGCGCGTATGGTGCCGCTGTGTGTTGTGCAATGCTGACCCACGTGAGCGAAAAACGACGCTTTGACTGCTGGCAACTGGCGAATTCTCCACCCCTTTTCCGCGTCACCACTTTATTTTTTTACGCTCTCGATGGCTGTCGGTTGCGACGCCGCCATGCGGGTCTGTCTCGGCTCTTGTGTGTCTTTCACTGCATCGGGACTGCTCTGTGATGTAGCCATTCGGCAACAGGAGCGGTGCCAATGGTCATGTGTCTTTTTGCTGAAATAGCGCCACTCTGAATGGTGGCTGTGTGGAGCTGCGTGGGCGGTGGGAGGGCGAGGGTGTCACTGGCGTGGTTGCGTCTGTGCTTTTTTGTGTCGGTGGCTGTGCATTGGTGGAGACTGTCTGTGGCTGGATGCTTCTGCGTGCCAATTCCTTTATTTGCTGTTGTCTCTGCCTTCCTTTCCTCCGATCAAGAAGATAGAGATACTTTGGATTGACCATCACAACTATCGTTTCAAGCTATTAGGGATTAATTGCAGTATTAGGATTAGCAGTACTGGGATATCGATTTATCGGGATTGTATTTCTGGATTTCCCATCTGTAGGAAGGGATTTGCTAGACAGGAGTTATGGTGGACGGGGCGAGTGCGACACACCACGACAGCCCTGTTGGTGCCTGTTCGGGTCGGTGGATGCGGTCTGCGGTGGGTGCGTGTCCGCGCAGCCGTCACCGTGTGCGGCGCAGGGCCATTGCGGCTGTGCGTGCGGCTGTGCTCGTTGTGTTGGCGCTTGTTGCTGCTGCTGCGTGGATGCCCGCGGTGCATGCGGTGGTGTTGCGACTGCGGGGCTGTACGGTGGACAGAGCCATCACGGTTGGCCGCGCCGTGGACACGGTGCTGATGGACGGCGTGTTCATCACGAACGGCGTGGCTGTGGTGTTCGACGTGCCGGCGATGCTTCCCGGCGCGCTGCGCATCGAATTGAGGAACTGCGTGTGCTACGGCGGTGCGCAGATCTACGTCCGGGGCTACGGCGGCGAGCCGGCGAGTGACCGGAGCCTGGAGGTGAGCGTGAGCGGGCTGTCCGGCGGCTACTGCTCGCTTGTGTTTGTGCACAACCTGCCGGCACACACGAACGTGACGGTCCGTGACTCGACGATTGTGACGCCGGGGCCGATGCGCTACTCCCAGCTGAGTGGGCTGACGGACGCGGTGGCGTCGCCGCTTGTGCTGCACGCGACGTCGCTGTTGCAGACGCAGCTGCGTGTGAGCAACACTTTGCTGAGGTCGTTGCAGGCGGGCGGGTCGGCGGTGTACGTTGGCGGCGGCATGGACCTGCTGTCGAGTGCGGTGGTGCTTGACGGCGTGTCGCTGGAGGCGTCGGGCGGTCTGGCCGCGTCTGCGTTGCGTGTGGCGCCCTCGTCGCGTCTCAGTCTGCGGAGCCACTCGGTGTTCTCCGTGACAAACGTGTCGGTTGTGAGCAGCGGCGGTGGCATTGTGCTTGGCGAGCGCCTCGCGGTGTCCGACTCGGTGCTGCGCTTCGTGGACGTCGAGGGGTCTGTCGCGTCGTCGCTGGTGCGCTGCGACGGTGGGACGGTCAGTGCCGGCGGGTGGCTGGAGCTGCGCGACGTGTGGGCGGTGGGCGAGGCGTCGTCTTTGGCGTCGCTGTCGGAGGTGACGCTGAGCGGCGGCGCCGCTTCGATTGCGCGCTGCACTGCTGCCGGCGCGACGCTTGTCTCTGGGCTGGCAATCACGAGCGGCGTCGTGTCGGTGCAGTGCAACCGTGCCGGCGGCCGGGTGCTGGAGAGCAGTGGCGACTACCGCTTGGCCGGCCTGCCCTCCGTGAGCGTGGTGCCTTGCGACGGCTGTGCGGCCGCGCTGGCGTGCTTCGATGCGCTGACGGCGTCGTTCACCGACTGTGTGTGCAGCTGCCGTGCCGGCGGTGTGGGCGAGGCGTGCCTGCCGTTCGACGTGCCGCCTGCGAGGTCCGGCGGCGGTGGTGGCGATACTGCGGAGGGCTGCGTGAGTGGCGTGACGCTGACGGAGTCGGTGACGGTTGGCGGTGGGCGTGCGACGGCGTGCTTCGACTCGGTGGTGTTCAGCGGACCGATCACTGTGGCGGTGGAGCTGCGCTTGATGGACGCGTTTGCCGACGCGCTGAACGTGACGCTGCGCCACTGCGTGCTTGCGGGCGGCGCGCAGCTGCGGATTGGCGGCCTCAGCGAGAGCACGGCGCGCCTGGTGCCGCACGTCCTCGTCAACATGACGAATGTGACGTCGGTGGAGGGCACGATCGTGCTGCGTGGCGCGATGCCGCTGCACTCGAGCGTGCTGCTGGTGAACTCAACGCTGCGTTCGACGGTTGGCGGGTCGCAGTACGTGCCGACGACCCGTGGCCATGCGGGATTTCGGTACGGCCCCGCGCTTGTCCTGGACGGCGTCCGGCTTCTGTCGACGCGGTTTGTCATGACGCGGTCGACGCTGGTGTGTGGCGGGGGTTTGTGCGCTGCGATCCTTGTGGAGCGCGACCTTTGCGCCAACCTGTCCAGCGTATTCTACATGGACAACTGCGTTGTCATTTCGCGGACGCACGTAATGTACGCTCTTGCGTCGGACCTGCGTGTTGTCGGCGGCTCCGTGTTCTCCATACAGAACAGCTTGTGGAGTGCGCCGAGCATCGAATATTACAGAGGCGCGTGTGTGTTTGGGGACGTTGCCGTGGATGGCGGCAGCGTTCTGCAGATTGTGTCCAGCACGTTTCGTCTTGGCTTCGCCATGCTCATTGCAAACACGCTGACCGTGGCTGACGGCAGCTGGCTGGTGCACCGCGACAACGAGTTCTGCACCGCCTACGTTGTTTATGTGACCAACTACTACGGCGTTGCGTTCCGCAATCGGAGTGTGTGGTCGATACTTGACAACAACTTCACGTACGGCTTGTACTCGTCGACCATCGCACGCATGACAAGCAACTGGTCACCACCATCCGACGCGCGCCCGACCATCTACGGCATGTGCAACGAGGTAAAGGGGTCTCCTGTGACGAATTACGGAGACGAGCTTAACGTTGGAGCACCCGTGAGGGTGTTGGACTGTGGTGCGTGCACCGTGGACGCCGTGTGCTTCGCAGCGATGACGAGCAGCATCAGCGGCTGTGAGTGTGTGTGTGCTGCTGGCGGCCACGGTGACACGTGTCTGCCAGCTGATGTTCCGGACGATCTTGGGCCGCTCCCGCTCCCCGATGCGGACGACACGGAGGTCCGCTGCGTGCACGGTGGCAGCATCAGCTCCGTGGACGATCCTGATCCCGGTGTGCGTGGCCTGTGCTTCGTCAACGTGACCTTCACCGCCGCGATTGCGCTGGACCTGTGGAGCTTCGACGCGCCAGAACAAACACTCAACATCACGCTGCTGCAGTGCGTCCTCGTGGGCCTGTCGATCAAGGGGAGTGGTGCGCGCGTGCACGTGAACGTGTCATCCTCGATGCTGGATGCCGGAGCGTTGGAGTTTGAGGGCCATTTTGGCTTGAGCTCCCAGCTACTGGTGGTTGGCAGTACGCTTGTGATGACGTCTGGCCACGCCATTCAATTCCAGAGGTTTTCTCTTGGAGCGAACTCGACGCTGCTGCTACTCGACAACAACATTGAGGGGAGTAATTACGCAGTCCGTTTATCCTCCGTTTTTGTTGATGGTGGCGGGATCATTGTGAAGGGAAACACGCTGAGGGGAGCGGAGGAATTTCCGTTGGAATCCGCTGTTTTGTTTGCACCTGCTGTTTTGAAGAACGGGGGCTACATTGACGTGGAGAACAACACGATGAGCGCAGTTAGTGGCATTTATTTTTATGGGGACACCACCGTGAGCTCCGCGGGGCTGCTGAGAGTGGCGGACTGCACCTTCTTTGGCATCACACTGTTTTTTGAACCCGCGCTGGTGCAGTTGTCTGGCTCTGTGACAGTCGAGGGTGGAGCGCAGTGGCGTGTGGAGGGCAACAGCGTGAGCGCAGCCTCAGTGATGGGTATGCCTAATTCCTTGTGCAAAATGAAGCTGTTGGGCGGCGGCACCACCGTGGTGCTATCAAACAACCGTCAGGTAGACGATAGTTATTCCTTTGCGAAACTTCTTCCACGGAGCACGATTGTGACGTCACCCGCACGGTTTGTGGTTGGGTGCAACCTGCAGGGCGATGAGGAGGTGTCGTACGACGATGTGTTTCCTGGGGACGTGGTGTTGTTCAGGTGCGGCACGTGCAACGACGACGCGGCGTGCTACATGCCTGGGACGGAGTCGGTGGACCGCGGCTCGTGCTCGTGCAACTGCAAGGACGGATGGCATGGCGCGTCGTGCCTTCCCTTCGAGGTGCCCGACACGGTTGTGCCGCCCGTAGCGGAGAGAGCCGTTGACGGCGACACGAGCTGTGTGGTGAACCAGACGCTGACGAACCTTACGCTGAACATGTGGAAGACGCACCACTGCTACGAGGGCGTGACATTCAGCGGCGTGGGTGCTGTGCTGACGTTTTCGTTTGACAGTATGCCGCTGCATCTCCCCATCAACATCACGCTCGCTGGGTGCACATTTCGCGATGGAGCCACGCTGCAGTTTGTTGGTGGCGCTGAGTCGGCGGAGTCAGCTGGCGTCCTGATCCGCGTGAGCCGGACGGTGATGCGGTCCTCCGTTGTTGTGTTTGCACTTGCCCTCCCGCAGCACTGCGACGTTGCCGTCACGGAGGTTGATGCGGTGCAAATCTCTGAGGTTCAGCTGCTTGACCTTATGAGCAACATGCTGAGCGTGGTGCTGCTGCAGAACTTTTTTTTGAGTGCTTCCTCGCTGTTGGTCAGCAACGTCAAGGCGCATGCATTGAGGTATGGGGGGTCTGGTTTGTACTCGACCGGGACGCTGACGCTGGTGGGTGGCAGCTCGCTGTATGTGCGGTACTGCAGCTTTGATGGATTCGCACACATGCTGTACATGAATATCCTCAGTGTCAGTGATCACTCTGTTTTTGCGCTGCTCAACAGCACAATTTCCTCCGGGGAAAGTCTTCTGTATATACGCCACGGATTGAGCGTGTCGGATCACAGCGTGTTGCGCGTGGTGGGGAACAGCGTTTTTTCATTCTATGCTATTTACGCTAACAAATTTTGGACAGTTGAGCAGTCAAGCTGGTTGGACTGGCGTGACAACGACGTGGAGGTGGGTGCGATGTTCTACGACAGTAGCTCCGCCTTTGTGAGCATTGACAGCAGCAGTGTGGTGACGCTGGCGAGCTGCAAGATGGGCTCGACGGGGTTGTCGGTACCTCTGCTATCTCGGGCCGACGCCGGCTATCGTTTCGTTGCTGGGTGTCTGACGGTCGCAGGACGGGAGGTGACGACGGCAGCAGAACTGGCGCTGAACGGCATCACCAGCGTGACGACGGTTGCCGCGTGCGGGGAGTGCACGAAGGACGGCGACTGCTTTGCACCGCTGACGACGGCGGTCATTGACTGCAAGTGCCAGTGCGCAGCTGGAGGGCACGGCGATGTGTGTGTCCCGGCGCCTGTGCCTGCTGGCCCGCCGCCACCGCCACCGCCGTCACCGCCACCACCGCCACCTCCGCCTGTTGGTGGGTGCATCAGCGACATGGTGTACCCCGAGGTTGCGCAGGCAGTGGGCGGCGGGCTGTCGTGGCTGTGCTACCGCAACGTGACGTTCAGCGGGGGCGGCATGGGCCTGACGGTGCTGGTCGGGGCGATGACGGGTGACGTGGCGAACGTCACGTTCGATGGATGCACGTGGAGGGACGGCGCCGTGCTGTTGCTCTTGGGCAACGTGCATGCCGCTGTTGGGGCGCTGAACATCGTCGTCACCGGCAACACGTTTAGTGACGCGCTGCTCAGCCCGGAGGGTGTGTTTCCACCGCACACGAACATCACGATCAGCGGGAACCGCTTCACGGTCACGAGGCTGATCCCTCGGTTGGGTTTGGTCCTTAGGAGGCCGTCGTGTGTTGCGATGAATGGACTGGTGATCAGCAACGACTCCGCGGTGGTGCTGAGTGGCAATGTGTTTCACGCCGTGACGGCGTCGTCAAGCGTCATTTACTTTGTTGGATCTGCGCTGAGGGTGTCGTGGCACTCCGTGTTTGCGGTGGTGGGCAACGCGTTTCACATGGCTGGCGGTGACAGTACGCTGATGCATCTTGGATGGTCTAGACATTCTTTGTCGCTGAGTGTACTGAACAACTCTGCTTTGGTGGTCCGAGGCAATCTTGTGACGAGGCCGGTGAAGTACTTCATGAACATTTTGTCGGTCTTACGTGTGGAGTCTCAATCAGCTGTTGTGTTTCAGGGGAACGACATGCGGGGAAGCTCGGTTGTGTTTATCTCAGGCGAATCGTCCAACATCTACTACAACTCCTGGCTGCAGTTGAGCGGCAACCTCTGCCGTGAATCCCCATCGGAAGCCTTTGCTTTTTTTTACTTCACGGTGAATCTCCGCGACTCCACGTTGTCTGTTTCTGGCAACCAATTCATGTCCAGCACGGGAATGACGAAAGCGCTGTGGATACATGCAGTTTCCAGCGACCTCAAAAAAGGAGAGATTGTGGCTGCGTGCAACAGTTTGAACGGCGAGGAGGGAGTGCAATACATTATTCCGTCTGTGTACAACGCCACCACCCTGAACTGCAGCGACCCATGCGCTCTTGCGGCGTCGTGCTTCCCCGCGTACACGACGACGGCCTCGAGTGATGGCTGCGCCTGCACGTGCGCTGAGGGCGGCCACGGCGATGCGTGCCTGCCTGTCGCTGTCCCCGAGCCACCGAGCACCGACGGCGCCGACTTGTGCGTGCGGGACGTGCGTGTGGAGGTGGAGGTGAGCGCCGGTCTCGGGACGTCGGTGGCGTGCTACGTTGGTGTGACCTTTGCGGCGGACGTCGTGGTGGACGTGGAGTCGATGTCGGGGAGAGTGCGCAACGTGACGCTGGCGAACTGCACTTTTGTGAGTGGCGCGAGCCTGTACGTTGTTGGGTGGCGGTCCGACCCGCCTGCTGGCGAGCGTGCCGATGTTTTGATCAGCGGGCTTGAGTCGCGCTCCGGTGGCGGCGTGCTGGTGGCGAACCGATACCCGCCGGGCTCGCGCGTCACTGTGGTGGACTCGGTGCTGATCGCAGAGAGGCGTGTTGCGTACCGTAACGCCTACGGCCTTGGCGACGCCTCCGCGTGCCTCGTGGTGCACAAAGTGAATCTGACTGGGAGTGTGCTGACCATTGCGCGCACGCACATGCTGGCGGTGTTCCGTGAGGCTGTTGGCGTGCTTGTGGTTGGCGGCGTGGCGCTGTCGTCGCGCGGTGCGCTGTACGTGGACGGGCTGTTGGTGCAGACGGCGCTGGGGCTGTGCGTGTCGGTGGAGGGCGGTGTTGCGGCCATTGGCGGCTCCGTTGTGGCGTTTGTTGACAGCGACTTCCTGCTGTGCAAGCACGCGGTGTCTGTGCGTGGGGCTGTGAGCGTGTCGGGCTCCGCTGTGGCGCTTGTGCGGAGCGACTTTTTGTTGACGGAGGACTACGCGGTGGCGTTTT